AGAGAGAGAGAGAGAGAGAGAGAGAGAGAGAGAGAGAGAGAGAGAAGCAGATATACAGACAGGCAGGCAGACAGACAGAGACAGTGATAGAGATGGAGACAGATAGATCGCCGCCTAGTTCTCGCCACCCTGCTGCTGCGGCCTTTCTACAGTAACGCCTGTCATCCTTACTGGTTCCCGCTGGACATGTGGAATAAATAACCAAGGTAGATTATACGCGCCCCGCCGGAGGAGGGAAGGGTGCAAGTAGGTGGGTCTGATCTGTTTGCGGGCAAAGGCAGGGTGACGAAGTCACCAGAAAAAGAGATCCATTTAAGTCACGCGGTTTTTACTCCCAAACAACGTGTAGCGGGAAACCAAGCAAGAGCGAGCGGAGAATAAAATCTGCGTGAGCGGTAGCCTAAGCGCGGAGCTGGGGAAACGCTGGGTCTGGGGGACCAGCCAGACCCCAAGTTCAGGTGCGCTCAGTTCGTAGTCAGCGGCGGCAGTAGACGCAGCTCTCTGAGGACACATTTGCACTTGTTGATGTCCTGCGTGGCTTTAAATCGACTTGTAAAGGGGGCAGGAGCAAACCCTGAGGAGCCCAGAGAAGTTTGGGACAGAGCGGGAAAGCGCCTGGCTCTGCAAGGAATCCAGGAGTCTCAGCTCCACCCCTGCTGCAAGAGAAGAGGACAAATCACAAACGACTCGGAGGGGTGGGGGTTAGGGGTGTGGGGGCAGCTTCCAGCCAGTAGGACTTGAGGGATCGCGTCCTGAGGCAGCCAAAGAGTATATCGGGAGCGCGGAGTGTCGGAAGCTCTCGGAACTAGCAGGAGCGGGGCCACGCACACATCCGACCCCAAGCCGCTCGCTCGGCGCTCGTGGGATTGCACAGCCGAGAGACCAAAAGGAGGAAGGACAACGCGCGGAGGAGCTTAGGACAGGGTTTCTCGGAGGCGGGAAGGAAGCAGCCCACGCGGGACAGGGCGTCCCGGGCGCTGCCCCGACAGCATGAGTTTCCCGAGAGGTTCCTATGAACGGGTTGCCAGCAACTCCAGCCCATGGTGGCCTCTGAGCGCTGAGGATGACAACAGCAGCCGGGAAGCAGCGGGGCACCAGAAAGGTAGCGACCCTCCTGGGGATGGGGATGTACGCAACGAAGAGCTGGCCAAACTGGAGATCGCCGTGTTGGCGGTGATTTTCGTGGTGGCGGTGCTGGGCAATAGCAGTGTGCTGCTGGCTTTGCATCGCACGCCACGCAAGACGTCCCGCATGCACCTCTTCATCCGACATCTCAGTCTAGCCGACTTGGCGGTCGCCTTCTTCCAGGTGTTGCCGCAGCTGTGCTGGGACATCACCTACCGCTTCCGCGGGCCGGACTGGCTGTGCCGCGTGGTGAAGCACCTACAGGTGTTCGCCATGTTCGCGTCCGCCTACATGCTGGTGGTCATGACTGCCGACCGCTACATCGCGGTGTGCCACCCGCTCAAGACCCTGCAGCAGCCCGCGCGCCGCTCGCGCCTCATGATCGCCGCCTCTTGGGTGCTGAGTTTCCTACTGAGCACGCCTCAGTATTTCATCTTCTCCATGATCGAAATCGAGGTGAACAACGGCACCAAAACCCAAGACTGCTGGGCTACCTTTATCCAGCCCTGGGGTACCCGTGCCTACGTGACCTGGATGACCAGCGGTGTCTTCGTGGTACCTGTGGTCATCTTGGGTACCTGCTATGGCTTCATCTGCTACCACATCTGGCGCAACGTCCGTGGGAAGACGGCTTCGCGGCAGAGCAAGGGCTCTGGGGAAGACGTGGCTCCCTTCCACAAGGGGCTTCTGGTCACACCTTGTGTCAGCAGCGTGAAGACTATTTCCCGCGCGAAGATCCGCACGGTGAAGATGACCTTCGTGATCGTGACCGCCTATATCCTCTGCTGGGCTCCTTTCTTCATCGTCCAGATGTGGTCAGTCTGGGATGACAATTTCATCTGGACCGGTAGGTAGTGAGAACATGGAGGCTGTGTGTGTGTGTGTGTGTGTGTGTGTGTGTGTGTGAGAGAGAGAGAGAGAGAGAGAGAGAGAGAGACAGAGAGACAGAGACAGAGAGACAGAGACAGAGA